CAGTTACTCTTGTATTAAAAATGGTTGCATCCTTGCAATTTTTTTTGTTTTGTACACTATTTAGCACTTGCTTTTTTTGATACAAAATTGCTACATAGAGTTTCTAGGTATAATTTTCCATAATTCCATGTTGGCTTTAATTTCTTTCAATGGAGCCGTGTGGATTAAAATAATTTAAACGTGCTTCAACTCTTTAGAAGTAATTTATGTTTGCAGATATTCCGCTTAACGTGCATGCTAACTTCTTTTTAATTATAAAGAGCCCAGCTGAGATATAATCTACTTTTCACTATATGTTCTTTATTGCTGAGTTTATTCAAGCCTCTAGTGGATGTGGTGCTGAGAGAGTGCTGACACCAAGTGCAAACACTGCTGAAAAGTTCTTGATAGTTTACTTTAGGCACTTAAAGATTAGTATATCTCTCTATGAACAAGTTTTTCATGCAGATTTGACCTTTACTCTAGGATATAATATGTCTCTTAGTTATATGTTAACACATTTTCCCACCCTGCTCCTTAGTGCTCCATTCTCAGTTGTCAGTACCGAAGTCATCCTTCTCCTTTGTTTCATAGCCAAAATAAATTGTTAAAACTCCACCAGCTTTATGGAAAGGATGGATTAGCAAAGAATTTGCTCTTTTTTACTTGCTTATGAGTGTGCATTTCAAATGTTAGATACAATTCTTAATTATGGAATATGTTAAGCTTATTAGAAGGATATTTTTTTAGGGTTCTGATAAAAATTAATGATTAAGGAGTATGCATGAAGATATATATGTCTGAAGCAAAGTAGTAATGCAGTTGCTACACTTGAAAATAAAGCAGTTTTCATCTATTAGGAGTGTTTTAAATATTCTGTTAAAGATTCATGTGTAATTGTTTAGCTGTCAGTCCAATTGATGGATTGATCTTGCAAATGTTTTATATAGCTTGATGAATATATATATATTTTGGTTAATTGTTTGAAATGGGATTGTATTTCTTTCCTTTAAGTGTACAGGTGAGGAGGGGTATGCTAATTTTCTGTCTAAGGGCAAGCACTTCAAATTGCAAACCAACAAAAAAGTTAATAAAAAAATTTCTTGCCATTTACTTCAGTGATTAGAGTTTAGGAATGGCCACATTGGGTTACATAAAGGCTCAACCTTCTTATTGTTGTATCTCCAACTATAGACACAAAGAGGTGCTCAAGAAAAACGGAGTAGTGCAAGCAAGCATGATACTCTTCTGCTATCCAGCTATTTTCAGCTCACTGTATTTTCTGAATTGGATGTAGTTTCTGTGTATTTAGTCAATATCAAGGTATTTTCCTTCTGTGTGCTAGTGCAGTCTGCTCTTGATCCTGTTGTACTTTCAGTCACCACAACATCCTTTGGTTCTAGTGATCTGCAATGGACTGTGTAAAAAATTACCTTAATTTCTTTGTTTTGAAGCTGACTCCTGTTAGCTGCTATTTGTAGAAAAAGCTTTTGGATAGGCCTGTTTGGGTAAAGAAGTTTCTGAAGGATTAGATCTAAGCGAGAATATTCAGAATGAGTAGGGAAGCCAACAACAAATGGAAGAAAATGACTGATAATAGAGTTGACTCTGAAAAATTCAAGTTCACTGCAGAATGTTTCAAGAACTCCACTTATCTGATGGTGCCATATGATTAGAGACAAACCTTATTTTTAAGAAAGGAACTAGGAGGATCAAATAGTACAGAGGACTTTTCAAATGCATTTAAGACTGAGATAACTATACATGTGCATATGTAGCTGCAATTAAAATTTAAAAAAAAAAAAAAGAAAGAAAAGAAAAGACCTAGAATTACTAAAGATTGTTTGACTAGACTAATCTCATTGCTGGTTGTGGTCTAATGCATGTTGTGGGCTTTGGCCAAAATATATTTCCTAGACTAAGGAAATGTGGAATTTGTGTGGGTTTTATTAGAACATTTGCTACTGTTGTACAGTTGATCATTAGTTAGAACTAATTTAAAAATCCACTGTAAAATTGATTTTAAAAAAACCCCAAACCCTTATTTAAATGGGATAGCAGTAGGTCATGTTATAAACCTTGAGGGAGATTATTAGTTTCTGAAAGAAGGATTTCAGACCAGTATTATTTAATCTTTTCATTTAATGACCCTTGTGCACTCAGTAAAAAAAATGTGTTAATGAAACTTGTTGATGATATGAAATTGGTGCTGTAGAGGACTGGGATACAATTTTGCTTATGGCTGAGTTGTGCTGTAGCTACAGGAAATGTGTTATTCCATACAGAAAATTTTAAAATTCAGATGAGGTTTGAAGCACCTCAAGTATAAGATATAGTACTTGAAAGACACAGTACTTTCATTTTATTTACAGTATATTTACGGAAGTGTTTGCAGATTCCCTTAGGAACTAGGTGAAACAATAATAAGCTAGGGAAGTTCCACATCAGACAAAGTATTTGAATAAAATCTGATTTCATATTTGTCTCACTGTAATGCTTGTTTTACATTGTAGCTATTTGTGATAGTGTTTAGTGCTTCTAGGTTTTTCCCTGCTTTATTATTAAGTGTACAGTGACCAGAAGCATTAAAAATAGGTTATGTCTCTCAGTTACTAAACATTTATAGCCATAGGAAATGGTGGTCAATTAAGTACAGCTTAGAACAGGTATGAAATTATTGACTTTGTTGATCTTCCCTTACAGTCCTTCCTTAGGAAAGTGCTGAAATGTGTCTTGTAGTTATTTAGCTGCATTAGTGGTTGAGTCTGAGGCTTTTAACGTGTTTTTTTTCCTTAATACCTTTGGGAGATTGATAACTAAGATGTTGATATAATAATGCAATATGCATACTGAGTGTAATTGTTTGAGAGAGAACATATACTGTGGGGAAATATTGAATGGATCATGAAAGATGATGACCATTAGTCTTTTCTTTCAACTATTAAAGCTAGCTTTAGGGTGTGTTCAGCTGTGATTTATGAAATTGTTTAGACTAACGCCTTCTTTGATGATGTCTGATGTAGAGAAAAATGCTGAAAAATCTCATGATGAATGAACTTTCTTTCCACTTTTGGCAACCTCTATCTTCACCAATTAAATTTTCAAGTATTGTACTGAGCTCTCTTAAAGAGCAGAGCAACAGATGGACAGTGTCATAAAGAGAAAAAAAAAAAAGCTTTTTTAAGTTTTTTTTTTTAACATGTTTAAGCTAACAGAGAATATTTCAGTTATCATCATATGAAGCTAAATATTTAGAACTTAATATTACATTTTAAAAAAACCTTATGAGGATTAGTTCCATATGCTATTTTGTTTAGAATATTAGCAGTTAAAGGGCTTTTTTTAAAATAAGGATAAATGCTTCCTAAAGCTGTTTCATACACTTTACACACTAACTAGAAGCTGTGTAATGGAGGCCATAAGAAAGCAATAGGGAAAACTGGTGGAAGGATGATGAGCTAAATATTAGTAAGATATATGTAGCAATAAGGACCAGTGATACTGTATGATGTAGTCTCAAAAAAATCCCACCACACCCCAAAACTCAAAAGCCATCGTATGTCATAATATGTAAATGGACCTTAGCTGGCTCTTAAAATGTTGCTTGCATATTAATATATATAGAGTAGTTATGTAAAAAATAATGAAATAGATTTATATTTCATGATTAATAATACATCACAAATTCATTATTCTGCTCTTAATTCTGACTACTTGAAAATTGTAATACGTTGTTGCAACTTAAGGTAAAAAATATGGTTGGTCTAGAACTTAATCAAGCCTTTAGAGTTATAATCTCTCCCCTGCATTTGAAATCTGGAATTATTTTTTTTTTTGGGGGGGGGGAGGAGGAGGGGCAAGGAGGCAGAATTTCAGTTGTAAAAAACCCGTTATTCTACTGGCTTTTGCATATGTTTGATCAACCCTTCATATCACTAGCTGAGAGGTAGTTCTGCAACACTGAGCAACAAGAAATGTACCCAGTTGACAGTGGGTATTAAAAACTCCTACATTCAGAAAACTAGAATTTTTAAAAGAGATATTTTCAGTTTTGCTTCTTTTGCCTGTTTTTGCTCGTGAGATTTGTTAAAAGAACCTCAGTGATAGAAGTAATGATATAAATTAATCATTAGGGTTCTTATTTTATACATCAAAGACTGAAAAATCAAGAAGGCTGATGTGGAAAAGCATATGAAACTTATGAATCTGTCTGCTGCAGATCATTATTTTGTATTAGTTTAAAAGAGCTGTAGAATTGAAGGCTAGAGATGTATTTGGCCTGTTCTATCCAAATGCCTCTGCATTTTCCCCCAAATACAAGGTTCATATGTTTAGTGCCCTAATTTTTAGCTCTGTCAACTTGCTTCTGTTAAGTCTAGGATTACAAATCTTTGTGGTTTTGTTAACCGATTCTGTTTTCTCTTCAGTTTTCAAACTGAGGAAGCAAGCCCTGGTAATAGGGTATCTTGGTTGGCTGCTTTCCAACTTGTCTTTTCTAGGGAGCAGGCGAAACCTGCCTACATTTTTAAGAGGTGTAGAATTTTGCTGTAATCCAGGGTTCAGTTGGATATAATAACTGTACTATGGGATGTTGAGGTGAGGATTATTATCAGCATGGATTTTAACTAGACTTCAAGCTATAAGATAAATTTGTGTCTAATGAACAAGCCTTGTATCAACATGGAACAGTTTGTTTCTAGCATTCTGAAGGTTCAAATAGGCAAAAAGCACTAGTGAATCAGAGTAAACTCAAAATTATTGTATAATGCAGCAAAAGATAATTATGCAGTAGTTTGTGGGATGTATTTCTATTTTCTTCTCCCCTCCACAGCATATGACTTTGCATAAATTATACTGTTCTGTTTCTTCTTGCTGGCAATGTTTCTTTCCTCATTACCATACATTTAAAGCTTTAAATGTTTGCTGATGGTGGTGTGAATTCCTAAAACTGGAAAGTGGATGACTTTCTAGCTGAAAATGTATTTTCTTTTGTTTTTACACAACTTCTTTTTTTTCCTCAGGAGTGGCAGAACTCTATACAAAAGAATGCTGGCCTTGCCTTTATTGAGCTTGTCAACGAAGGAAGGTAAGTCACAATACTTGATAGCACCTTTGCCTTAGCCAAGTTGTATGTCTTTGAACTTTTTTAAACAGAATTTTTCTTCCACCTCTTGTGTTGTTTTCTTTTGAGTTTTGTAAGCATCACATCCTTTAATACTTCAGTTCTGATACTGACCATGGGATTTTGCAGAATCTGAATGCTGTGTAGTTTAAATATTTCACTTGTGTGTCATGGATTTTCTGTTTTCCCGTCCTTGTGCACTGGATAACATTGAAGCTATAATTTGTATTCACCTAATCTCTTGAGGAGGGGAATTGATATTTGGAAGGCATTATAGCTAGGAACTGTAAGATAAGCCTCCGTCTCAAAAATTAGATTCCAGTTTGCTCATTTATTTCCTATCTATCTCATAAAACTGAAAGGAAGAGAGTCCCTTTAAGGTAGGAAAAAAAAATTAATCTGTTAGTATTACCAATTAGTTTAATGTTCTGTCTGTAACTATATATGTATATTACTGGGACTTATAGAAAAGGATGAAGCAAGTGATGGGGCCATGCCCTTTGACTTGTAATGACTATTCAGAACCATCAATATTTTCTTCATTAGGAATTGATTGTTGAGGCACACTAAGAGCAATATTTACTTTTTCTAAAGGATTTTTTTTAAAGATGTCTTAGTGAGTTAGCTAAGGAGTATGATAAGAAACACCATTTATCTAAACCTAAGTTCTGTTATTGAGTAACTTGAGATATTGAAAATCCCAATAAAAATAAATTTTACAGGGTTAGGAGAGCTACTGAATTAAAAACAAAATAACGTATCACATAAATAAAGTGCCAAATATATTTTTATCATTATAGGAATAGATACAATGGCTGTTTGAGATTTTTCTTTTAAAGTGTGTAGATGTTTTCAAGATACATAAAAATAATGACCATTTTAATGGCTGCATTTCACTTTGTGGTGAGGGAATCACCATTCTGAGGCAGAAAAAACATTTTGCTACTAGTCTTGATCCCAAGGGCCAAGGTAAAGTAACAAGGGTGTTCAGTTACAGTGTTAAGATCTAGCCTGTAGTTGTTTCCTATTATGTGAAGCTGACCTGTCTTGACCTTACTTATAAAGTGCCTGCTATAAATTTGGCCCTTGATTAATGTTTTATTAGCATAGATAACGTAGACATCCCACACACATGTAAACCACAATGTAAGGTTCGTCTGTGTAAGGCGATTATCATGAACAAATCAGTTGCTGAGACTGAGTTGTAAGTAGCAGCTACCTAGTAGTTACAGCTTGTCCAGGTCAAGCTTTCAGAGAGCATTCTATCAGTAAACTGCTTGGAATGGACTATTTTCTTTTAAAAACCTGCAGTGCCCATCACAGACAGATGGAATCACTCCCCGCACCTCCATAAACAACATCCATAACTTATAGTCTGGCCTTAGCACAGTGGTTGTCTCAGGGACAAATGATCCCTTGAAGTCTGAAAAGTGTGGTTTTGGTTAGCAGAACATATCTAACCAATTGTTACTTCAGTTAATTTCTGACTTGTAGCAGAGTTATTTTTTAAAAAAAGGGGAAGTAACTTTCATTACAGGAAAGAGGAGAGGGGATTAATTTCTTAAAAATGGCTTCTTTTATCTATCTTAATTTTCCTCCATTGCTCCTCATAAAAGCCCTTGAAGTTATTGCTGAATTGGTTATTGTGGTGTTTGTGGCTTTTAATAATTCACTGAAATGAATGAACAGTGGAATTTCTCTTTTCTTTATGCAGGTTGCATTATTTTTCTTTGACATATACTAACAGTTACACCAAAATGTTTCGGACCTTGTATTTCATTGTAGTTTTCATTGTTTATGGATGCCATGACATGAACATCTTAAAAACTCCGAAAGCTGAAATATTTTATTAAAATTTTAAAAACTCGCAATAGCTTAATGATGCAGATTTAGACTTTTAACTGCATACTTGTATAAGAATAGTAGCACTTTAAAGTTGCTTCTATTACTACCCATGGAAAGAAGACAAGGAAGTTGTATAAAGGACAGACTGATTTCAGCAAGGATGTCTGCGGGGTACCATAACATGGGGAGTATTAGAGTAAGTACAATAAAATTAAGGACTAGAAGAACTGCCTAGAATTTGTGGAGTCACAAAATTCCTATGAGTTGCCACCTTGGTGGAGGAAGTCTTGGTCATCTTATAACCTTTGAAAGTCAGGTTTTTATTCCCAATGTTTTTTACTCATTTTTTTTTTTTACTAATGATGCTAAAGGATAATCCAGTTTGAAGTGTGATTTACTGGTTTTGTTTATCAGGCAAATGAGAACTGAAAAATCATTCTGGAAGAGAAAGAGGTTTAGAAGAAGAGTCCTAAATCTCTTCTAATAGTTGATTTGAAATGTATTTGCTTTTATGTGAAAGGTATGAATGTACCTCTCTCTCTCACAGCAGTTGAAAGTTTTATGTTTAGGCTTACCATGTTTTGGCTAGGATTCCCTGGATGGAAATATGTGCAGAAAGTTTGCCTCTGGGACTCATAAGATCTACAGTGTGTGTGTGTGCTGCATTCAGAATGTGTTGGTCTGAATTTCATCATGTTCACAAGTAACTAATGTGTTACAGATATAGTTGCTTTCCAGCTATATCAGGTCCACTGCACATGTATTGCAGAATTGATTTGTTTGTGCCCAGTGAAATTTTGAAACTTGAACTGGAAAAAAAATATCTCAAAACAGGAGACTAGTATGTGAAGATACAGAACCGTAAACCTACCTAAAACTGAAATACACAACTAAAGTCTTTTGAAGGCAGGGTTACAAGCATACTAAAGGAAACCAAGTGTGTAGAAAAACAGGAACTTACAGAATGTAAGTGAAAAGCTAGAGGAGCAGGTATTGGAAAATAACCTCTTTCTGTGCATAAAAAGAAATGTCAGTTGCTACATTGCTACACTGAACATTAGTCTGTTTTTAATAAAAATGAATCAAGATTGTTCAGTTATTTAATGCCTGGTAACACTCTTAATGGTCTTTGAAACCTTGTTAAAAAGGTGCCTGTACCCACTGCTTCTCTATATACTGAGCCATCTGTGCAGCAGATACACAGTTTGTGAAACATTTTCCTTGGCCTGCTGAATTTAGGTCAGTCTAAATTTCAGCCTTTGTGCATTCCTTTCACCTTTGTGTCCTCCTTTAGGGAGAGTCTATTTTAGAACATCAATCTGAGAGCTTACTAATGGGGGAATTTGTTCACTGGAACCATCGTTTAGGTGTGATTTTGTTTGTTGTCATAACTGATTCTCTTCTTTGGAGGCTTCCCAGGTATTCGCACAAGATTCCTTTTACCCCTGAAACTAATTATGTTTCCTCCTTATGAAGTAGATGGTCAAACTATTATTTCTGAACTTAAGAAAAGATTAAAAGAAAAAAAAAGCTTCTTTTTTTACTTCCTTGTGTGTACAAATACATCTTTTGTTAGACTCTATTTGATTAGTTAGCAAACAACTCCTTTGCTCCGTGAAGGTTAAAACTCTCTCCTGTCGCTTTGATTCATTAGCACACTTTAGAGGGAAACATCTCTTATGCTAGACCTTGTTTTCTGTATCAGTCTGTGCTAACAAACGTACTCAAGCTTGAGACTAGGCATGACAGTTATTATCCCCTTTGGGGTGATAATGGGTTTGGCATGGCAGGGGTTGAGGGATCAGTCTCCTAAGCATGCTGCAGCAATTATTCTTTCCAATTTTCAGTTGAAGAGACTCTTGAATATGCTTAATTTTAATTTTCTCAAGCTAGGTTTATTAGTAATCTAAAGAATTAAGTGCTTTGTTCTATACCTGTATTTTTATATGCATGTAAATGAATGTTCAGGCAGCAGTTGCTTTGAAAAACTGTCACAAAGTTTAGTTGGAAGATTATCTCATCAAACTAGCAGAATGTATTTATAATTCCCTCTCCTTTACCTTTGCCCTTTCAAAACCCTGACGGAAACAAACAAACCAAAACTTATCTTCACAAGATTCACAAGTGTATCCAGGAGAAGCAGAACTAATGAAGTTTGTTTTCCTCATTGCTGGATTTCTGTTGTCTAATGGGGAATGAAATCTAATAAAAATTCTCTTGCCATACCAGAGGATTCTCCTATATTGGATTTTCTGTTATGACTTACAGTGCAGTTGAAAACAGCTTTTTTTTTTTTTTAAGGATATTTGAAAAGATTTTGGTCCTTTATTGGATAAAAAGCTTGTATAAAATAAATGATTTTGAGAATCTAGCCTTCTATTAAAAAAAAGTGTTGAAATGATCCAATGAATTCAAAAGATACTGGGAGATGGTGGAAGGCAAACAGCATGCAAATCTAATATCCTTAGCAAGTAAAAATTCCACCAGAGAACCAAAAAAAGCCCAGCAGCTCTCCAGAAATATCTAGATGTAACTGGTATTATTCTCCCAATGCATAACCTCCAGTAGTATTAATGGAATGCTGTAATCATCTGTATTTATACAATTTGAGGTTTGTTTTTTTAAAAAAGGAATGGTATTAAGAAAACTTAAATGTATGTCACGTGCTGTTCCTTTTCTTAAGTTGTATCTATTACTTTTGACTGGTTATAGATGCAAATATTTTTTTAATATCAAAATAGCTGGCAAACTAGTTGGTCAATTATTTGCACACTTTCCTAAAGGAAAATAGGGGACAGATGTAAGCTGCTCCATTCAATTGTCTTTAACTTGCAGTAGTGCAGTCACTCTCAAGGAATAAATGTTAGAGGATGTGTTGCCATAGGAGCAACTACTGTGATGGAAAATAGTTAGAAAAATACAGCTATTCATGAAAAAAAAAAAAAGGTTGATAACTGACAGATTTACACTTTCTGCATAACTGACCAAAAAAGCTTAGGGAAAAAAACCTGACAAATGTAGTCACATCTCAACTAGAATTGATTAGTACCAATCAGCTCCTCTTATTGCAGCCTTCTTGCCCTGAAATTCTGATAATGCAGAACCTGCACCTTCACCTT